AATCAAGGATGATCTCCAAGGATTCTGGGCTGGGACAAGGAAGGAGTTACCATCCATCGAGGGCAGGCTGGAGAGGAGAGGATGGGCAGGAGTTCGGTTCTGGACATGTTGTGTGAGGCATGTCCCCTCGACATCCTACAAAGGGCTCTGGGGTAAATAGTCTAAGGTACCTGCTGCCTTCTAGAGATGGCTCTGCCTAGTTGGGACATACTTATCTAAAGGGAAGAAGCCCAGGCTGGACCTCCCCGTGGGTCTCTCGTATCCCCAAGATCTCTCGATTGTTGCCACAGTCCAGGTTACCTGGGCAACCAAAACGAGGTCCCATCAGCTTCTTGTTCCTTCACTTGCTTTCTCAAGCGTTGCCTTGTTTGAATCAAGGTGCTTTGCTCTTCATTCTCTCCCTCGTGGGGAGCCGGCCAAGATGCTGTCATTGCCCCCATTATGACTCACGTGGAGAATGAGGTTCAGGGAGATGAAGGAGCTTGCTCACAGTTCCTCGGCTTCCAAGCGGCAGCCCACACAGGGTCCTCTGTATCGAGATTTGTTTCTTTTTGTGGCAACTCCTTGCCTGCCTCAAAGAGCCATGTCATCGACTTGCACACCCATGCAGGGATTCCCTGTCATGCCCTCAAACTCGGGCTCCCTTGTCAATCAACTCAGACCACTCCTGCATACCTGGCCCTGTGCTGGCAGGTGGAGAGTGGGGCAGGAGAGGAAAGGAGTAGTGTGGGCCAGGTGTCTGCCCTCAAGGGCTCACGTTGCTGCGGGAGAGAGCATGTGTTCACAGGTACAGGTACAGGCGGCACGAGATAGGGAGAAACCTCAGTTTGGCCCCACAAGGCCTGGGTGCTTGTTCAAGATCCCTGCTCCCTGTTGTCCTTAGACCTGTTGCCAGAACAGGTGGAACCTGCTTTCCCTTTTGAGCAGTGCCTAACGCTGTTCCTCCTCTCTGCTTCTGGAAGTTGCTCTGAATCCACCAGCCAGTGAATGACTGTGCTATAATAAACTGTCAATGAAACATAAAGGGTCTTTATCACTTTCACGGCTTAGTCACTTACTGGTTGCCAAGATCACACAAGATAAAACAAAGAAAAGCCAGGACAGGGGCGGGTGTGCCCCAAGAAGACTTCCTGTAGGAGATAAGACTTGGGCTGGGCCCAGAGAGATGGGAAGAGCACTGCAAGCCTGGAGACCCAACAGTTGCCAAGGTAGGGGCGGCCTTGGGCAGGCTATCTGGGTGGCAACTAAATGGATGGGATTAATGGGCTTGTTGAGTTGAAAGCAGAGTGGGGCTGCCCCATTGACAGTATTATGGACACATACATGGGTCCGTTCACACAATAGACCACCATGCAGAAATGAGGATGGCGTGTCCCCACTCATAATCAACCCCAAGGATGACACCCATGAGCATGGTGTTGAGTGAAAGATGCCAGATATAAAAGATACATACTGTACAATTTCCTTTATAGGAAGATCCCTAATGGGAAATATTAATCTACGTTGTTAGGAATCAGGATGGCATTCCCCTGGGACAAGTAGTGACTGGGAGGGGACACAAGGAGAGGCTTCTGGGTGCCAGTAATGTTGTTTCTTGATTTGCATGCTGGTTACACAGGCGTGTTCAGTATGTGAAAATTCCTTAGGGTGTATACTTAGATGTGTGTGCTTTTCTGTAGGTATATTATACTTGAAAAAGAAATGTTTTAAAAAGGAAAAGAAAAAGATCCGGGGCTGCGTTAGGGATTAGCTGTGTCTGCTGCCCTCCCCTGTGGTGCCTGACCAGGCCCAGTGAGGTGCCCAGCTCTGTCTGTGACCTGATGTCCAGCTGGGCCAATATGCCAGAGGCTCAACAAGTGTTTGTGGGCTTATGTTGCTTGAGGGACTACTGAACATGGGGCTCTAGAATACAAGATGTACAACCTCTGCCCCCTGGGACTCAAGTGAAATGCCCCAAAGCAGTGTGTCCCCAGACTGCATGGTCCCCAAAGGCAAGGACAGGTCTGCCCCAGGTGCTCCCAGCCCACTGGCTGACTATAGCAGGCCCTCACCAAAGCATCATCAGGTGGAAGACTGATGCTCCAAAAACGTGGCTGTCTAAGTAGGTGCTGACTTCAGAAGTGGAAGGGTGCTCAAGATGGAAGAGATGGGTGCCAAGCTGGGCCCATCACCGCTTCCCTGTAGTTGTTGGGGTTTTGACAAACGGAAGAAAGAGGGACCAGGTTGAGCAAAGGTATAGAAGTGGGAGTCTCAGAGCCATGTAGAGTGAATTGAGTTTGGCAGTAGCGGGAGGGAGCGGTGGGAAAGGAAGTGAGAAGAGAAGCCTGTGGGGTGCTTGGACTTGATTCCAGAAGCAGCAGGAGCCTCTGCGAGTTTTGGGCCTGAAGTTAGGGTCACAATCTGTGTTCCAGGGAGGGTCATCTTGCAGCAGTGGGCAGGGGCATTAGAGGGCAGTGAGCTGGCCCCGATGGGATTAAAAAGTGAAAATAATTGAGGAAAGGGAGGTAAGGTGTGAAGACCACTCCATGAAATATATTTTTAAGAAGGGAGAACTCAAGCACATAGATAGTTCAATAGTTCACATAGATAGATCACTCTAGGCCAGCCTGGGGGTCTTAAATACCATAGACATGCTTAGACTTTGTCTTCTAGGCAGTAGGGAGACAGTGAAGGTTCAGAGGAAGGGTATATGCTGAGCACCTACATGTGTTAGGCAGTGGTATAGGTACCCAGGATACATCAATAAATGAAATAAAGATTCTCACCTTCAAGTAACTTACATGCCAGCAGGAAGATATAAGAAAAAACATAGTTAACTAGTAAATTATATAGCATATTGAAGGGCGATAGGTACTACAGAGGAAAAAAAAAAGCAGGGAAGGGTAAGGAGGGTGGATTGGGGATGCTGAGGATGCGGTGCAAGTAGCAATATTAAACAGGGCTGGTCAGGGTAGGCCTCACTGAGAAAGAGAGACTTAAGTAAGTCTGAGGGAGGAGCGTTCCAGGCAGAGAGAGCAGCAAGTGCAAAGGCCCTGAGGCAGGAACAGGCCTGGTGTGTTCAGGAACAGCAAGGAGGTCATTGGCTGGAGTGAGAGAGGTCATGGATTGGTGGAAAGGGACACGGCACAGGTGTTCCGTGTAGGCTCTTGTAGGATGTGTGCAGTGGAGATGTTCAGTAGGTAGTTGGATAGAGAGATGGAGTTTAGAGAGTGGTGGCCTGGAGAGATAAACTTGGGAGTCATCAGCCTATAGATGAAACTGGATGAGATTGCAAAGGGGTTGAGAGCAGATGGAGAAGGAGATGGAGAAGAGGAAAGGACTGAGCCCCGGGGCACTCGGATGCCAACAGGGCAACCAGCAAAGAGACTTAGAAGCAAAGACCAGGAGAGAGCGGGCAGGGATCTGGGCCCCTAGAGCACGGGCGAGAAGAGACCAGAACCCATGGGAATTGCTTAGGAAGAGGTGAGGGTCTGGGTTAGTAGGATGGCCAAGGAGCCAGGTGAGCAGGCGATGTTATCCTCCCAACGTTAGCACGGAGGAAAGATTTATCATCACACAGTTGAAAGAGGTAAAGCTGTCTAATCCTTTGCGAGAAGAGAAAAAAGATGAGTTGGTTGATGGTCGTAGAGGAAACGCTCTCAGTAAAATATGTGTTTGAATGTATTCCCTGATCTTTTTTCAAAAAAGTTCTCAGCTGAAGTTATAGTCAAAGACAAGAAGGATCTTGTCTGGGCTCAGTGGTCCCCCAGGACACCAGACTCTTGGTGCTAGAACCAGGACGGTCCCATGCAAACCGGAATAGGCGGTCACTCTAAGCTTGGTAATTTACAGAGTTCTCGCCACATCATCTTGCTCTTTGAGCTCACACCCGCTCAGTGAGGCAGGTGCGGTGGGGGATGGCCTCCTGCCAAAAGGAGAGGCAACAGCAGACTCAGGGAAACGCCTCATCCCTTCCTGGGAGAGGCTTAGAGAGGAAGTGGGCTCTCCAACCATGTGTATATATTGCTTCGATAAAAATTTAAAAAATGATTTAAAAAACAAGTAGAACTCTAGAATGACAGAAAGCAGATCAGTGGTTGCCTGGCTGGGATGGGCTATAAAGGGGCACGAGGGAAGTTGTGGAACAATGGAACTATATCGTTATTGTGACAGCGGCTTCACAGGTGTGTACAAACCCATTGCATTGTGCCCTGTAAATGGATGCGGCTTATTATACTTTTATTATACTGTAGTTAGAGAGAGAAAACATGAAGAAATGAGGAAATGGAGGCAACCATGGCCCCCTAGGAGAGCCCACAGCTCACAAACATTTGCTCGTTTGCACTCTTACTTTACCCTCTCTCATCTTCACACACCTTCTGACCACCCTCCCCCCCATTGTAACTGGAGGGCAACTGAGTCTGGGGTTCATGCTGCCTGCACCGCTCAGCCTATAGACTAACACAGGAGTTGGGATATTTAGAATAAGCGTTTATTGTCAGAGGACCGGTGATCTAAGAAGGCAGCACGTTGACACCTTCAAAGCTTCCTTGCCTTCTCGGTCTGGCTTAGGGTATTTAAGGGAAAATCTGGGCTGTATTCCCGGGGCTATGCGACAGTTCCGGGGTGGGGGTGCTCTGTTGTACTTCACGGAGCCATTGCTCTGGCAACATGGTGGGTGTTAGCAACCCAGGAACAAAGATGGGAGTAGTCTGGAAAAAATGCTGGACCAGGATTGTGATCGGTAAGCACAAGGGCATTCATCATAAATTTCAGGGCAACTTTCTATGGCAAGGGACATTCCAAGCTTAGGGTCAAGCTGCTGAGGACAATCTATTGTTAAGCTATGTGGCAAGGAAAAGTGAAGCTGGGGACACTGAGACTTCTACTACGGACATCCCGGCTGGGCCCTTCTTCGCCATTGCATATGGAGCGTCTCTGTGGCTCAGCCACCTCCCTTGAGGGAGAGCCCAATCCTGCAGAAGGCAGCCATAGCACTAAATTATTTCCTCTGTCCCCAGGACTCCAATCTGTCGGTGTACACAGACAACCCAGACCTCACTCCCTGCTTCCAGAACTCCCTGCTGGCCTGGATCCCCTGCATCTACCTGTGGGTCACCCTGCCCTGCTACCTACTCTACCTGCGGTGCCACCACCGAGGCTACATCACCCTCTCCCGCCTCTCCAAGCTAAAGACGGTCAGGAGCTCAGGGCTCTTTGGGTGGGACTGGGACCTGGGGGAAATTTCTTTTAATGAGTCCCTTGCCCGACTCTCAGCAGCTGGACAGGGGTCCCCAGCTTCACCGCCTGGTGGGGGGCTATGGCAGCTTGCCAACGGGGTGTGCAGCCAACTGAGATCATCCCTACTTGGGGAGGTACAAGCAAATTTTCCATCAAGTCTCTCCTACCCTCAAGAAGCTTCCGGCCAGTGCCTAGCCCAGCCGTCAGGGCCAGGCTCCAGCAAGTCTGGTGGCTTCAGGAGCAAAAAGAGACTGTCCCTCCTTCTGGGGATGGTGGCTCTAAGACATGTCCTTGTTCATAGGCCTTGGGCGTCCTGCTGTGGTGCGTCTCCTGGGCTGACCTCTTCTACTCCTTCCATGGCCTGGTCCACGGCTGGGCCCTTGCCCCCATCTTCTTTGTCACCCCCTTGGTGGTGGGGGTCACCATGGTCAGTGTGGGGCCCGGGAAGCTGAGTGGGGGAGGGTCTCCAGTGGGTTTTGAGATTGTGATGGGAGAACCATGGGCTCTAAGGAGGAGGCCGGACACCTTAGCAGTGGGAAGATGGGGGGTGACCCCGAAACATCTAGCCACACAGGGTGGGGAGGAACAGAGGTAGGTCCAGATGTGTATGCTCTGGCCCGGCCTCCCCTGCCCTCCCTGAACAGCTGCTGGCCACCCTGCTGATCCAGTATGAGCGGCTGCAGGGGGTACAGTCCTCGGGGGTCCTCATCATCTTCTGGTTTCTGTGTGTGGTCTGCGCCATCATCCCCTTCCGCTCCAAGATCCTTTCAGCCGTGGCAAAGGTAAGGGGAAAGAGAGGCACCTACCTGGTCCAGCCCTGTCTAGGGTGTGACCTTAGGGCTCAAGGTCAGCGCTGGGTCCCAGGCTCCTCCCCTCTGTCCCTCCCTGGCTCCCAGGACATCCCCTGTGGTTCAGTCTGTTTTGTGTTGTTCTCTACTCACTGTATCTCTGCTGGAAGCAGGCGGGAAGGACAGAGCTGAGGACCAGGGTAACTCAGGGGAAAGGGGCCGTTGTTGGATATTCGTGGGAGTGCAGGGAGCTATTATTCTGTAGTCACCACCACCATCCACTGCAATGTCTCATAGGGGTGTCGGCCAATGTCTGTTTACTGAACACATGTTCGCAGACATGCACAGGTAGTTCTGGCTTACCTGGAAGTCTCATGGTCTCATTCTCCCCCTTTCTTTCCACCTTCCTCAGTTCCTGGCTTTCTTCTTGATCTTTGGTGGTGGCGATAGTGTGGTGACAGGAACACTGGGAGTCAGTTTGGCATCTCCTCATTTCTCCATCTCAAGGGTTAGACGGTCAAGTATATTCATAAGAGCACAGGCTTGGAATCGTCTGCTTATTATCTGTGTGATCTTGGGCAAATTCCTTGGTCTTCTGGAGCCCCATTTCTGCAGTTACAAACAGGGTGTCATAGATTTCCTATCCTGTAGGGAGGGTTGGACAAGGTGATGCAGGTGAGGTGTTTGGCACGATACCTGATGCCAGACAAGTCCTCACAGAACCGCAGCCCCCTTATGATCCGTCCCCTCTCTCAGAATCCCTGGGGGCCACCTCCTACCCCAGAGGAGACTGATGTTCTGATGCTTCTCCCCATTGTCCCTCTAGGGCAGGATCTTGGACCCTTTCCGCTTTACCACATTCTACATCTACTTTGCCCTGGTGCTCTGTGCCCTCATCCTGTCCTGCTTCAAGGAGAAGCCACCATTTTTCTCCCCAAGGAATGTCGACCCTGTGAGTTTTCCATGGAGGCTGGGAGGCAGTGGGGGTTCCACACCCATTCCTCAGCCAGCCCTTACCAGCATCCTCCATCCCTTCCAGTTCCTTCCGTCCCCAGGTCATGTCCACAATGTGTAACCTGGGGCTTAGAGTTGGAAGGTGGGGGCAGGGGGTCCTCCTCCCTCTAATCTGCCTTGAGAGGGTGGGTGGGCATTCCTCATATCCCCCGTCCTACTCTCACCTTCTAGAACCCCTGCCCAGAGGCTAACGCTGGCTTCCTCTCCTGCCTGTCTTTCTGGTGGTTCACAAAGTGAGTTGGTCCTCCCTCCAGCCTGGGTCAGAGAGAGGAGGGTGAGGAGATGGGGGGTAAAAGGGAGGAAGGAGAGTAGATAAGTTCAAGGCTCTGAGGAGCTGGGCCTGGCTGCCCCCACCTCAAACCCTTGTCCCTGCGGGCATGGGGCAGGTGAGGATGGGGAAACCTGTTTTTTTGGGCTGGGGCCTGAGTCTAAAGGCCAGCCCTGCATCTGGCAGGCAGTGGGGATAGGCCCAGGGGCTAGAGGGACACTGTAATTAGCTCTAAGCTTTTCTGTCTGGGATAAGCGTGCAGCTCCTCATCCCCTTGGCCATCCCTTGGAGTGGCTTGAGCAAGATAATTGTGTCTGTGACCTGGCTGACATCTCATTAACCATGCTGCACTGAAGGGGCAACTAAGGCTAGGGCTTCGTCCTTGCCCAGAGCTCCAGCCAACATGGATTTCATTACCAGGGCCCAGGGGTCAATGGGGATCTGGAGAAGAGGGAGAGGAGGGGCCTGGGGTGGGAAACTGTGGTGGGAGGCAGTGACCTCCAGCCTGTTCACTGTGGCAACAAAGGAGACACCTACCTTGACCACAGCACCCTAGGGAGACTCTCCTTTCTGGAGACCCTGGTCCCAGCTCCAGGCTGCTAAACTCTGATCTTATGTGGGGCCATCTGCTTGCCCCAGGATGGCTATCCTTGGCTACCGACGTCCCCTGGAGAAGCAGGACCTCTGGTCCCTGAACAAGGAAGACCACTCTGAGATAGTGGTGAAGAAGCTGCTGGATGCCTGGAAGAAGCAGCAAAAGCGGGCAGCACGGTGAGGCCCTCCTGTCCCCATGTCCCTTCACCTAGCCCCTTCACGCACCTAAGGGGAGGCTAGTCCACCTGGGATGCTCGCGTGGCTCGGGGTGGGGAGAAGAGCAGGTGCGGGTGGTCCTGACGCGGGACGTGAGGCCAGCTCTCACCTGCTCCCCTGAGCCCAGGAAGTGGCTGCCTCTTTCCGGACACGTACTCTGCCCCAGCCCTGGGCACGTGGGTTGATTCAATCTCCAACAGCAATATGGTGTGGGTTCTGTTGTCCTCGTGTTACAGATGGGAACACTGAGGCACAGAAGTTTAATGAGGCACTCAAGGTGTCCTAGTTGATGGTGGCAGAGCCTGAATCCATGCCCAGCTGTCTGGCATCAACTGCCCAGCCAAGAGAGCTGGGGCTCTGAGTCCTCTTCCCCTGCCCACTTCTGACCCTGGGGCTGAACCCTTTCCCTCCGCACCGCAACCCGAGGCCCAGGAGTTCGGTGCATGTTCAGTGAGGAGTCCCTAATTACCAACCGGCTGTCGGAGGGATAAAGGACTTGAGCTCGGTCAGCAGTGTCTTGGCTTCCATGGTTTGGAGCCTCTGGGTAAACCTAGGGTCCTCCAGTCTGCATGGGCACCCCTTCTCTGTCCCTCCAAGCCACTTCCGCCCCCTTCCTGCTCAGCTCTCCTGTGACTAGGCCACTAGCCTCCCCTGCCCATGTGTCCCTTCCCTCTTAGCATTTTTCCTCGGGACACTGGGGCAGGCCAGAGGCCGGGTATTGCTAGGTTATAGTCCTCCGGTAGTAGTTAAGGCAGTCCTCATGTGCCCTCTGGTACCCAAAGACAGTCTCTTGGTGAATTGCCTGGAAAGTCATCTTGTCCAGCCCCCTCTCAATCCTGAGAGCCAAGAAAGCAGCTCCCCTCTCCTTCCCACTCCTCCCAGCATTTGGTTTCATGGGGCCCACGTGCCCATTTCTACCTACTGTTCTTTCCTCCCTGGACCAGACTCAAGGCCAAGGCGGCATCTGGGAAGACAGTCTCCGGTGAGGATGAGGAGCTGCTGGGGGACCAGCCCAGGCCCCAGGAACTCTCCTTCCTCCAGGCCCTGCTGGCTGCCTTTGGCCCCAGCTTCCTCATCAGTATGTGCTTCCTGCTACTCCAGGACCTGCTCTCCTTCGTCAACCCACAGCTACTCAGGTCTCCCACATCCCTTCTTGCTGCAGCCCTTCCCTGGGCAGGGCGGTCGCTTGGCTGTCCCTGAGGACTGAGCCCGGAGGAGGGGACAACATGTATTGAAAAGAGCCCCAGACCTGGAACCAAAGGGGCTCTCCCTACTTTCTGTGTGCCCTTTGGCAGTGGCAATGCCTCCGTACCTCAGTTTCCCCATTCACATCTAACTTATGTACCAGGTACATGTTATGTGCCAGGCTCCCTGTGGACGCATTAACATTCTCTCTTAAATCTTACAGAGAAGTGTTCCTATGCCTTTTTACAAATGAGGAAGCAGAAAAACTAAGTGTAAAAAAAAAACCAAAAAGTGAAGATGCAGAAATTCAGAGAGGTGAAGTGACTGGCCCAAGGGCACACAGCCGATAAAGATGGATTCGAGTCCAGGGCTCTGAACTCCAGCTATGGTGCTCTTTCCAGATGATAGACTCCATCATCTGTCACATGTATGGCTTGGACTTGAAGGAGCTCTCAAACGAGAGGGTGGGAAGGAGAGCTGCCGAGCAGCTGAACCCCAAACCCCTTGCCTCTCCATTCATGCATTCATTCATTCATTCATTCATTCATTCATTCAATGAATACGTATGAGCCCCAGGGTACCAAAATGGTGCCAGATATTAGGGATACAGAGATAAATATGATGTAGTTTTAAAGTCTTGTAGGAGAAACTATCGTGTAAATCTGTTGGAGTACAGTGCAGGCAAAGGTGTACTCAGGTGTCTGGACAACCCCAGGAGGGGTAAAAAAAAAAAAAAAAAGCCAACTTGGGAAGGAGCAGGGTACGCTTGCCAGCCAGGGAGGTTTTTCAGTTTGGAAGGGTAGCTAACCATGTGAGGAAAGAAGGGAGAGTCAGCCTAGGCAAAGTCACAAAGGCCTGAGACAGCATGACTCAGGAATTCCAGGTAGTTCTGAATGCTGGAGGTCAGCGTGACCAGAGGGAGAGGTGGAAAAACATGAAGAGAAAGGGAGAGAGCTAAGGAAATCCTTAAAAGATTTGCAGCCAGAGAGGGGCGTTTGATTTGCATTTTAGAAGGACAGGTGGCCAAATGGAAGTGGGCCAAGCAGGTCAGGAATGAGATAGGATTCAGAAGCTGCTCAGGAGGTGGAGGTGTGTGCCAGGGAGAGGGAGGGGTCGAGAGTGACTAGGTTCTGGCCTGGGTAACTGGAGAGTGATGGGTCTTTCTCTGACATGATGACCTCAGTGTGGGGAGGGGGCTGGGCACTGGGCAAGGTGATGAATTGAGTCTTGGCCACATTGGGCCTATGGTGCTGGTGGGCCCCCCAAGATGAGACTCCCAGCTAGCTAGAGATCACATTTTCAGAGCCATCGGGTAAAAGTTGATGGTTAAGCTTTATCTGTGGCTAAGCTTTGCCAGACAGCCCATGCAAAGACCCCAGACAGAGCCCTAGGGAATTCTGACAAGTAAGAGGGTAAGCAGAAGTGTGACTTGAAAGGGTGAGAGACGGAGTAGCAGAGCACTTCCAAGGCAAGGTGTGGCCTCCAGTGAAGCAGGGTGGCCAGTAAAATAGAGCCTGGGGAAGGCAATGTGGAGTTTGTTAGTGACTTTGTCAACAATAGAGGCCGGGACAGGCCTGAGAGCAGGGGATCTGCAATGGAGACAGGGTCCATGGAAGTCTAGAAACCTCCTGTAAAGCAAGGTATATTAGCTTCCTGTGGCTGCTGTAACAAATTACCACAACTTGATTGTTTAAAGGAACAGAAATTTATTCTCTCACAGTTCTGGAGGCTAGGAGTCTGAAACTGAGGTGTCAGTGAGGTTGGTTCCTTCTAGAGGCTCTGAGAATTTGTTTCATGCCTCCTAGCTTCTTGTGCTTGCCAGGAATGCTTGACATTCCTGTTTGTAGATCACTCCGATCTCTGCCTCCATCTTCACAGTGCGCTGGCTCTCATGCTCGCTCTCTCTCTCTCTCTCTCTCTCTCTCTCTCTCTCTCTCTCTCTCTCCCTCCCCCCTCCCCCTGCCCCATGCATCTGCATCTCTGTATGCAAATCTCCCTCTCCAGTCTCTTATGAAGACACCAGTCACTGGATTAGGGCCCACTCTGCTCCATTGTGACTTCATCTTGATCACATCTGTAAAGACCTTATTTCAGAATAAGGTCACATTCACAGGTGCCAGGGGTTAGGACTTGAACATACCTTTTTGGGAGACACACTCAACCCACAGCAGAAGGAGAGGCCTGATGATGAGTATGGAGGTTGAGGGGAGCTTCGTCCCAGTATGGAAGAGACTTGGTTATGTCAATAAAAGGTACAGAGCTGCCAGCAGAGATGAAGCTATTGCAGATCAGGAGAAAGGGATGCGATGATGGAGCGTGTACCTGAGGAGGTGGGTGGGAGGCAGGGCTCAGGGGCAGGATCAGGCTCAGAAAGCTGGAGAGACACCTCTTCTGAGGCAGGAGGAAGGAAAGAGGCCAAGACTTGGGAGGGAAGCTTGTGGTTGGTGGAAGTTTTCAACAGAGGGTTAAGTGAGAAGACTTAAGTGGGTAGCTGCTGAGAGGGCCAGGGAGTGGGGACTGGTCCGAAGGTAAATAGGGCTATGGAAGGGGAGCTGAGTTAGGGCCCTGGAGAAGGTCACTGGGCAGCACTGGAGCCCGCTGATGTTGGAGAGGATGGATTGAGGAGCAAGAGTCTGTGTGGTCCTATGGTGGGCTCTGAGCCCTTAGCAGTTCTGGAGAAAGCATAGGAAAGTCGAATCAAAGAAGACATGGTGTTAGTTCCTGCCGCGTGGCCCAAGGAGACGAAAGACAGGCCGGTGGTGAGAGCGTTGGAAGGAATGGGTGGCGGGGGCCACGGCAGATAGAAGAGGAGGTGAAGGCAGAAGGGAGCAAGGATGGAGGTAACACTGGCTGAGTCCCCTGGTCCGGGTGGAGGCGTGGAGGGCCAGCAGCGCCCGCCTGAGAGGCGTCAGACCGGGGCGGAGTGGAGGCAGAGAGTGAAAGGGGAGGGCAGCGATAGAGGGAGGGAGCAACTGGAAAGCCCTCCCCACCTTCCCGCATCTCTCCTGCCCTTGCAGCATGCTCATCAGATTTATTTCAAACCCCGCGGCCCCTGTCTGGTGGGGCTTCCTGTTAGCCGGGATGATGTTCATGTGCTCCACGATGCAGACTCTGATCTTACACCAGTACTACCACCGCATCTTTGTGACGGGGTTGAGGCTTCGTACGCAGCCTGGAAAGCCCTCCCCACCTTCCCGCATCTCTCCTGCCCTTGCAGCATGCTCATCAGATTTATTTCAAACCCCGCGGCCCCTGTCTGGTGGGGCTTCCTGTTAGCCGGGATGATGTTCATGTGCTCCACGATGCAGACTCTGATCTTACACCAGTACTACCACCGCATCTTTGTGACGGGGTTGAGGCTTCGTACGGGCATCATAGGTGTCATCTATAGGAAGGTCAGCTGGAACAGGGCATGGAAGGCTGGGGAGGCTGGCCTTGGAGAGCTTTGGAGAGGCTCAGGGGCTCAGTCCATTACTTGCTGTCCACCTGCAGGCTCTGGTTATCACCAATTCAGTCAAACGCAAGTTCACCGTGGGAGAAATGGTCAACCTCATGTCAGTGGATGCCCAGCGCTTCATGGACCTTGCCCCCTTTCTCAACATGCTGTGGTCAGCACCTCTGCAGATCATCCTGGCAGTCTACTTCCTCTGGCAGGTGACTCTCAAACTTTGACCTCTGCCGCCTTCCTCTGACCTTGACTTTGCTGAGAAAGGACAAGACGGGGTTATTCTGGGTCAGCAGAGGGGATGCATAATGGACACGAGAACTTTTCTAGATAATTGGGGTTGGGGACAGGACTGTGAGGATGCTGGTGTCTGCAGCAGAGTCTCTCCAGCCTGGGCGATTATCCTTCTTGAAGATCTCAGGGGAGGAAAGAGAGACTAGGAAGCAGGATGGGTGTGACTGTCCATCATTGTCTGTCCGTATTTGTCTTCCTGTGGGTCTGGACACCCTTCCATATCTGCTGTTTGTCCCCATCTGTTGTCACTGTCTGATGGCTGGCTGATCTAGCAAATGTTTTCATTTCAAATGTTTCGGCTTTCTCTATGTGTCTGCTTTTTGCTTTCTATCTGGCTGAGCACCATCTATTGCTTCCTGCCCATCTCCAGGTTTCAGATTAATAAGCCTCTGTCTGTTGGATTCTGTCTGTGTATACACTTTGGTTATCTGTCTGTCTTATCCATCCACCTGTACCTCCTCAGAACCTGGGTCCCTCTATTCTGGCTGGAGTTACTCTCATGGTCTTGCTGATCCCATTCAATGGAGCTCTGGCCATGAAGATGCGAGCTTTCCAGGTGGGTGCTATCATAAGTGTACCGCTCCTGCCTGGAGCGCCGGGCTAGGTGCCTGGGGAGAGGCATATACTAACCTGAGGCTCCTCAATGACGTTGTTTACTGAGTATTGATGGCTACAAGCCTTTTTCACAAACTTTAGCTTACTCTATCCTCACAACAACCCTGAGAGGGTTTTAGAAACATTCTTATTTTGCAGCTGAGGAACCAAGGCCCAGAGAGATATGGCAGTTCAGAACCTGGCAGAGCTGAGACTCAAACCTGTATCTTCTGGTCTAATGAGAGTTTCTCCTACCACACTGTGCTGAGTGTAAATATTCAGTCATCCAGTCCTTTATTTGCAAACATTTATTGAAGTTTTTAGTAGTTTCTCACTGCACGTAGTATAAATGACAAAGTCCCTAGGACCACCTACCAGGCCCTTGCTTACCTTGCAAGCCCTCACCCCCTGAGGTATGGCCAAATTTTAGCCAATCTGGCCTTCTTACTTTTCTGCAAAACACCAAGCTCTGTGTACCTCCGGGCTACCAAACCCACTATTCCCTGGATGCTCTTCCTCCCTTCCTCGCTTGCCCAACCCCTTCCGTGCCCCTACCTCCCAGCATAAACCCTGATTTCCCCGACTCTCACAAAATCCTGTTGTTTCCCTCCGTAGTACAAATACCAACGTATTAAGCATTTATTCAAGTAATTGTTTGCCTCCTATCTGCCTCCTCCATCAGACAGTCAACTTCATGATGGCCAGGGCCTAGTTTGAGTTGTTCATCATTATCTGCCCTACATCTAGCACATGGCCTGGCACATAGTAAGCCCTCAATAAATGGGAGTCGAATGAATAATTTGGCGTGCTGCACCCTGGGTTAGTCTAACTGGGGAAGCATCCATGCACAGAGATCTCTTGGGGGATAAAAGGAAAGTGCAGTGTGCCTTAGAAACCCAGGGAAAGGGGTGGAGGATACTGCCTAGGAGGGACCGAGACACTGGCACAGAGGTTGGAGCTGGATTTTGTTGGGCAGGAGGAGAGGGGAGGCTGGGTGGGGCATTCCAGGCTGAGGCGTGGCACAGACCCAGCAGGGAGGAGGGTGGGGGAATGGTGAGCAGCCTGAATGGCTGTGGTATGTGCGCCAGCGCGCACGGAAGGCACAAGCCCCCGTGGGTAGAGCTCTGGGGAGAAGATTAGAGCCACTCTCTTCACAGGTAGAACAAATGAAGTTCAAAGACTCGCGCATCAAGCTAATGAGTGAGATCCTGGGTGGCATCAAGGTGCTGAAGCTTTATGCCTGGGAGCCCAGCTTCTTGCAGCAGGTGGAAGGCATCCGGCAAAGCGAGCTCCAGCTGCTGCGCAAGGGTGCCTACCTCCAAGCTGTGTCCACCTTCATCTGGATGTGCACCCCCTTCCTGGTGAGGCTCTCCTGCCAGAGCTGGCCTCCTGCCGGAGCTGGCCTCCCACCTCCCACCTGGCCAGCCTGGAGGCCCAGTAGACTCCACCCTGACACCCACCTCTACCGCTGCCCAGGTGACCCTCATCACCCTCGCAGTATACATGTCTGTGGACCCAAACAATGTGCTGGACGCCGAGAAGGCCTTTGTGTCTGTGTCCCTGTTCAATATCTTAAAGAACCCCCTCGGCATGCTGCCTATTTTAATCAGCAACCTGACCCAGGTAACCCCGGGCGGGGCTGGGGGCGGGCATGTCCTGCTGGAGTGAGTGCAGGTTGTTGGGGATCACTTAGGGTCAGGGGATGATCAAAGAGTTACTGAAATCAGGAGAGGGCCATCGGGCACTATGGAGAATTGTTCAAAGTTGAATGAGGTTATTAGAGTCGGTGGTCATTTGGAGTCAGAGGAAGTCAGGTGGGGTCCCTGGAAACCTGCGATCTGGAGACAGCCTCCATTTACCAACCTGGACCCTATCTGAGCCTTCAGGGGGCCCGGCCTCGCCCAGGAAGTTGGGGGCCAGGCAAGTGTAGGAGGGAGGGGGATAGAAAAAGCACAGCTTCCAAGGTTGACTCACACCCTCCTGCAGACCAGTGTGTCTCTGAAACGGATCCAGCACTTCCTGAACCAAGATGAATTTGACCCCCAGTGTGTGGAAAGAAAGACCATCACCCCAGGTCTAGACGCCCTTACCTGGGCTGCCCTTGCCACAGCCCCTGCTCCAGTAAATCTTCATTCCAAGCTTTTAATGTTTCTCTTGTGACCCCTTTTCTTCTTTCTCTTTTCACGTCTTTAACTCTATGCCCATCTTCTCCCTTTTCTGGCTCTCCGCTCTCTTCTTCTGCATCCTTCCCCAGCCCTCTCCCACTCTAGTTCCTTCCCTGGGGCTCCCCCTGCCCTAAGACTTCCTGTCCCTTCTCCCTGCCCCGCAAACTTCCCTGCCTTCTCCTCTTAGCCCCTTCCCCCAAGGCTGCCCACACCTCTCCCTCCCTCCTCCCCCAGGGATCCTATCCCTCTGGCCCTGGGCCCCCCTAAACCTGTATACGTTGACCCTCCCAGGCTATGCTGTCATCATAGACAATGGCACCTTCACCTGGGCCCAGGATCTGCCCCCCACCCTCCACAGGTACCAGTTTCTCTCACCCCTTTTCTGCTGCCAAAAGGGGGCCAAACATCAGACCGGTAGCAGAACCTGCCCTCCAGCCACCACCCCTTGCATCCCCCCAACTCCCCATCTTTGGCTTGGAAAGTAGGAAGAGCCTCACTTGCCAGGGTGGTTCTCTGAAGGGAGCCGGGCTTGGGTCTCCCGGTGGAAGGTTGGGAACCGAAAACCTAATCCTTGTCTTTGACTTGGCTCCTGGTTTCCTTGCCCCCAGCTTAGACATCCAGATGCCAAAAGGGACCCTCGTGGCCGTGGTGGGGCCCGTGGGCTGTGGAAAGTCCTCCCTGTTGTCTGCCCTGCTGGGAGAGATGGAGAAGCTGGAAGGCAAGGTGTATGTGAAGGTGAGAGGTGTATGTGAAGGTAAGATGTATGTGAAGAGAAGCTTGGCAAACAGGTAACTGTGGAGTTCTCTTATGGCCAGGGCTCCGTGGCCTACGTACCCCAGCACGCATGGATCCAGAACTGTACTCTTCAGGAAAATGTGCTATTTGGCCAAGCACTGGACCCCAAGCGCTACCACCAGACTCTGGAGGCTTGTGCCCTGCTAGCCGACCTGGAGATGCTGCCTGATGGGGACCAGACAGAGATTGGAGAGAAGGTACATGATCCCCTTCCATCCTCTGGGGAGTCAGCATATACCTCAACCCAGCCCAGGTCTATATATGCACTCATTCATTCATTTATTCATTCACACATTCATGTAATATGCCCAGCTCTGTGCTAGGCACTGGGGAAGCAGGTCTATTACTGGGGGAGACTAACTTGTGAACAGGTAGGGGCTGAAAACCTATGTAGGGTTTAGGTATAGAGAGAGCAGTGAGTGGGGAGTCTGTATAAGGAAAAGTATCACTTTTGAGTTGAATCTTAACAGCTGAGGAAGAAGAACACATTGTTCATCTATTCATTCATTCATTCATCAGATTCTATTACACACTTACTGTATGCCGGGCACTATTATACAGTAGTGAATATACCAGACTAAAATCTCTGCCTTTCTATAGCTTACATTCTAGCAGGGGAAGTTTTATAAGCAAGATAAATAAGTAAAATATATAATATATTAGATATATTCTAAGGGAGAAAGAATGAAACAGGGAAGGGGTATAGGAATATGTGTGTGGCTCTGTTGTTAGGGTGTCTTGGGAAAGCCTCACTGGGAATTGGAAACCTGAACAAAGGGAAGGAGTGGGCTGTGTCCGGGGACATGGAGCCCTGTCTCAGGGAAAGGCCTTAGAGGCAGAGAGCAGCAAGTGCAAAGTCCCCGAGGTAGGAGTGATCGGAGCATTCAAGGACTGGCAAGGAGGCCAATGTGGAGTGGAGTGAGAAGGGCTGAGGAGGAGGAGATGAGGCCAGTGAGGTGTCCAGGCAACCAGGTCATGTAGGGTCTCGCAGGCCACTGTTAGACCATGGCTTTTACCAAGAGTGATGGAAAGCCTTTGAAGATGTGAGCCAAGGAATGGTGAGTGGACTGGTTAGGAAGTGGTGGTGAGGGTATAAGGCAAGGCAGAGTTTTGAAGACCTTGGATAAGGTTTTGGCCTTTACCTTAAAAACTATGGGATATCAGTAAAAGTGTTTGTTTAGTTCATTCATTTTTAATTGTTGCAATATAGATATAACGTACAATTTGCCATCTTCACCATTTTTAAGTGTAAAGTTCAGTAGTGTTAAGTACATTCACACTATTATGCAACCATCCTCCAAAACTCTTTTCATCCTGCAAAACTAAAATTCTGTGCCCATTAAACAACAACTCCCCATCTTCCTCTTCCCTCAGTTCTTGGCAGTCACCATTCCACTTCCTGTCTCAATGAATTTGACTACTCCGGGCACTTCATGTAATTGGAATCATACAGTATCTGGTTTGTTTTCTTGACATTAGCTTATTTCACTTAGCATAATATCTCCAAGGTTTATCCACGTTATATCATGTATCAAAATTCCTTTCCTTTTTAAGGCTGAATAGTATTCCGTTGTATGTGTCTACCATGCTTTGATTATCCATTCACCTGTTAATGGGCTCTTGGGTTGCTTCCACCTTTTAACTATCATGAATAATGCTGCTGTGAACATGGATGTACAAATATCTCTTCGAGACCCTACCTTCGATTCTCTTGAGTGTATATCCAGAAGTGGAAATGCTAGATAATATGGTAGTTCTATTTTTTATTTTTTAAGGAACTACTATATCATTTTCCGTAATGGCTGCACCATTTTCCATTTCCATAAACAATGCACAAGAGTTTAGACTTCTACACATCCTGGCCAATGCCTGTGGCTTTTGGTGGGGTGGGGTGGGAGGTGTTTTGTTTTCGTTTTTTAATACAAGCCATTCTAATGGGTATGAGGTGGTATCTCATTGAGGTTCAGATTAGCATTTCCCTCATGACTAATGATGTTGAGTGTCTTTTCATGTGTTTGTTGGTTGTTTGTATATCTCCTTTAGAGAAAAGTTTGAGTTGTCTGCCCATTTTTTGGTCAAGTTGTTCGTCTTTTTGTTGTTGTTGAGTTGTAGGAGTTCTTCATATCTGCCTCAGGTCCTCGAATAACATCATTTCATTCAATGTCATTTTGTTCTAACATTGATTACATGTCGTAGGAACTTAACTCTTGTTTATATCAATTAGCATATGGTAAAATTGGATTCATTATATGTCATTTAGCTTAAAGTCATAGAACCCAGTAATGACTTACAGTAAGTAAGGACTTATTGTGCTGGATATTTACCCCTTATTAGATGAGTTGCAAATATTTTCTCCTATTCTGAAGGTTGCCTTTTCATTCTGTTCACTGTGTCCTTTGATGCACAGAAGTTTTTAATTTTGATGTGATCCAATTTATCTATTTTTGCTTTTGTTGCCTGTGCTCTTGGTATCATATCCAAAAATTATTGCCAAATCCAGTGTCATGAAACTTCTCCCCTATGCTTTCTTCTAAGAGTTTTATACTTTTAGCTCTTTTGTTTTTTTAATACTGGATACTTCAGTGTATATTCTCCCAAAACAATGACATTCTCTTACATAACTATAGTTGAATTATCAAAATCAAGAACTTTAACATTGATGCAATATTATTATCTAATTTACAGTCTATATTCAAATGTCATCATTTGTCCTAGTAATGTCTTTTTTTTAGCTATTTTCTTTCCTGGTCTAGGATCCAGTCCAGGATCATGAGTTGCATTTACTTGTCATATCTCTTTATTCTCTATCAATCTGGATAATTCCTCAGTCTTAGTCTTTTAGGACCTTGTCACCTTTGAAGATACAGGCCATTTGTTTTGTAGAATGTCTCTCAATTTGACTGCAATTAGATTTGGATTATATTTTGGGGGGAAATACCAAAGAAGTAATGTGTTCTTCTTAGTGCATCCCATCAGGAGGCACATGATGTCAATTCGTGCCTTATTGACAATGTCAACTTTGAGATTGTGTCTTCATTGATGATTCTATTTCCTAACTGATGATTCTTGCCTGAGTCATTGTTTACTATGACATTTGCCAAATGGTAATTTTCTAACTCTATTCCTGCTATAGTTATTAGTTGGCATTTTACTCTAAGAAAGAGCTTTCTCCTCCTTCCTCTTTTTTACTTATTCATTAATTTCTTTATATCCATATGGGCTCATGGATCCTTATTTGATTCAATGGGTTCTAATCCATTACCTTCATTATTTGTCTTGATGTTCAATTTGTCAGTGAAGGTTTTTAAAGCAGGGATTGCTGAAAAGCTACAGTGTGGAGGATCCTGAAGGCACAGGACCGAGCGAGGAGCTTCTTATGGTGGCCTGGGGAAATGAGGACCTGAGCCTGAGCAGTGGGAATGGGAAATGTTTAGGTAGGAGTCTGAGATCACAGAACCCAGAGAACTCCTCGTCTATGACACTTCTTCCCATCTCTCTTGGACCTACTCTGACTTCACACACACAAACAAACCTAATTTAATGTTCAGCACATGGTAGGCACTCAAGAAAGACTGGTCGGTTGAATGCAGGCATGCTCATATGCTTTAGTCACTATGCTGGCTTCTCCCTAGCAGCTCCAGCTCTCACCTTGCATTTGCTCTCCCCAGGGGTCAGTTTCTCAGGGTACCCGAAGGAGTTGGGCCCTATTGTAGAGGGAGTAAGGGAAGTTGGTGGTAGCAAAGCAGGCTATACCTCTGGGGTCTGCCTTCTGGGCCCAGCTCTGCAGCTATGTGCCTCAGTTTCCTCATCATGAACTTAAGGAAAGATCTTACCTCCCCTCTGGCACATAATCTCAGGATTGATAAATTCTGGGGTAATGCTGGTTTCCCATCCTTGCTTCTGCCCTTAATAGTTCAGGACCTTGGACAAAGTCATTAAGAGCTGGGCTTTAATTTCTTATTCTAGAAAGTTGACACCTCCCTGGAAGGACTGATGTGAGGACCAAATGAGATTATTATTATGAAAGTCACCTGCAAACTATATGGGCGATGGAATATTAAAAGGTCTATTAAGGGCCTCCTGGGAATTTCCAGCCTCCTAGAGTAAGGAGGCAGCAGGCAGGGAAACCAGCTGGGCAGGGTGATGGAGCAAAGGGAGCAGGATGTCTTCACCTGCCCTGAGAGGACACTGAAAGCCACCACCTTCCTTCTGTGGCCTTACTGCTTCACAGGGACAGGACCAAGCATATGAAATGTGAATGCAGAGGTCTGCCCTGCTGATTGACAGTAGACAGGGCCCTTACCCACCTCCTGCCTGTCTACCCTATACTTACTTCCTCCCTTCCTCCTCCATCCAGGGCATTAACCTGTCTGGGGGCCAGCAGCAGCGGGTCAGTCTGGCCCGAGCTGTATACAGCAATGCCGACATTTTTTTGCTGGATGACCCACTATCAGCCGTGGACTCCCACGTGGCCAAGCATATCTTTGACCACGTCATTGGGCCAGAAGGTGTGCTGGCAGGCAAGGTGAGGCTTCTAGGCAGCTGAGGGGGCTAAGGTGAAATCTAGGGCCCTAGGAGAGAACTAGTAGCCAAGGGGTGCGGATGAAACCTGGACATGTGGGAGTCTGAGAAGCAGGAGTGTGAGATGGGCAGCAGGGGAAACCCATGTGGTGGGGCACAGCCCAGAGGCCCTGAGCTGGCTGTGGTAAGCATGGGGTGAGTCCCTTATGTGCCCGTCTATGCTCCCTGGCACACGAGTGCCTCACACTCACTCTGTGGCCCTGTGCCTGTGCTGGAGGTGTCTGCTGAGGGCGGCGGGAGTAATGGCTGCTTTCCCTCCAGACACGGGTGCTGGTGACGCATGGCATCAGCTTTCTGCCCCAGACAGACTTCGTCATAGTGCTAGATGATGGACAGGTGTCTGAGGTGGGCACCTACTCAGCTCTCCTCCAGCGCAACGGCTCCTTTGCCGACTTCCTCCGCAACTATGCACCTGATGAGGACAAGGAACACCAGGAAGAGGATGGCAGGACCGGTATCCTCGCCCTCTGTATTTCTGTGCCCTCTCAGTGTTTCCTCTGTCTTGGGGGTCTCTGAGTATCTCTAGACAGGCCCAGTGTTATACAGGGGAGGTTCTGGGGAACTTGGACCTCTGTGTGATGGTCAGATATCACCAAGTAGGAAAGGGAACTGGATGTAGTCCAATCTTTCTCCTCCTCTTCCCTAACTGTGTGACCTTAGACCAGCCGCTCAGCTCTCAGAGCTTCAGTTTTCTCATGTGCCAAAAGTGCATTAGGGCCCAGGCCCAGCCTGTATGGCAAGGCTGTTTCATAGATAAATAGTCACATATGCAAGTGCTTGGAAATGTCATTTACTTAGCAATAAACATTTATTGAGCAATTACTATGACTAAACACTATTCTAGGCACCGAGAGATAACAGTGAACAAACAAAAGTCCTGTCCTCATGGAGCATATTGAAGTCCCCGGGCTCATGTGTCCCAGCTCCACAACCTCAGACTCTGGGCTGACTCACAGACCTCTTCCTGGCTTTTCTTACTGCTGTATATATGGCTAAGATGTCTTGAGCATTTAGTAAGTGCTCTGCCCCTTGACACAGATTTGTTTCTTTAATTCTCACAACGATGTGATGAAGTGGGTACTATTATTATCCCCATTTTACATGCCTGTCTAAAGTCATGCAGTGAAGAAGTGGCAATCGAAGCTCATCCAGTCTGGCTCAGAGCTTGAGCTCCTAACCTTTATATTTGAACCCACTTCTCCTGATGCGAAGTTTTTCTTCGTCTAACCGAAGTCTTTCTTGCCGCCCTTTTTTTTTTCAACACAAAATTGGTCATTTCTTTTTGTCGTTATTGTTCTTGTTGCCTTTTCAACCCCTCTCATCTTATTTCATGCTTGTCCATTCCGGCTCCTTCATTAGAGTAGGGGTGGGGGATACTGGGACTTATAGGGAGCTACCTGACCTCTGTCTCCTCCCTCCCACCTTGTGACAGCCTTTGAGAATCCAGAGGATGAGCAGGTGCTGCTGATTGAAGACACACTCAGCAGCCACGCAGACCTGATGGATGAGCCAGTCATGTATGAGGTCCGGAAGCAGTTTATGAGGTGAGCTCCTGAGAGCGTTCAGGCCCCTGGGATGCTGCAGCAGGGCCCCCACAACCTGCCAAGTAGGGTGTGGTGGGCATTCTCCCTGATACTGACACCCTGGATGTCCACCTGCGGCCTCAACCCTCCTTCTGGGCTCTGTTCTGTGGGTGTGCCAGAGGCCTCCTCTCTGGGCCTGACCAGAGAGCTGCCTCCACAGAGAGCTGAGTACCATGTCCTCAGAAGGAGAGGGCCAGGGTCGGCCTGTGCACCGGAGACGCCTGAGTATAGCAGAAAAGGTAGTGCAGGCAGCAGAGGCGAAGGCAAATGGGGTGCTGATCAAGGAGGAGAAGGTGGAGATGGGCAGGGTGAGTAGGGTGAACAAGGAGGGCTGGAGAGGGTGGGCGGGCCCCCAGAAGTCTTGAGGCTCACAGGAGTTTTCTGTCTCTGACCGCCATGGCCATACAGGTGAAGCTGAACATGTTCTGGGATTATGCCAAGGCTATGGGGCTCTGTACCACACTAGTCATCTGTCTGCTGTATGCGGGTCAAAGCGCAGCTGCCGTTGGGGCCAACATATGGCTCAGTGCCTGGACCAATGAGGCTGTGGTGGGTGGACAACAGAACAACACCTCCATGAGGCTGGGCGTCTATGCTGCCTTTGGAATTCTGCAAGGTGAGCCTGCAGAGATACCTGGAAGGGGCTTCAGTGGCCCCTTCCTCACCTCTGGGCTGCTGGGTCCCCTAAGCCACGCCTTTGCCTCTGAGTCTCCCTTCACATCATAGCCATTGCCCTGCCCCAACACCTCTCTAACCCACCCCCGCAGTCCACCTGCCTTTGAGCCCGCCTAGCCCACCGTGGCTATCCTTTATTTGGGAACCTGTCCCTGCGTGCTTGCCACCTGGCCTAGGTGAGCGAGTTCCCCTCTGCCTCTTCCAACAGGGCTTCTGGTGGTGCTGTCGGCCTTTGCAATGGCAGCGGGCAGTGTCCAGGCTGCACGCTCGCTCCACCAGGCGCTGCTGTACAACATGATGCGCTCGCCACAGTCCTTCTTCGACACTACACCCTCGGGCCGTATCCTCAACCGCTTCTCCAAGGATATCTACGTCATCGATGAGGTTCTGGCCCCTTCCATCCTCATGCTGCTGGGTTGTTTTTACAACTCCATCGCCACCCTTATGGTCATTGTGGCCAACACGCCACTCTTCATGGTGGTCATCCTGCCTCTAGCTGTCTTCTACCTCTTTGTGCAGGTGCATAGCCAGTGGGTGGGCATGGCCATGGGAGGGAGGCTGAGGTGCTCATGTGGGCAGGGCTTTTGTGTGCACAGGGGAGGGGGGAGGAGGGAGGAAGAGGAGGATGTAGGCAGTCAGTCACTTTCCCTTTCTGAAACTCATTTTCCTCACCTATAAAATAGAGACTCATAGGACCTGCCTCATAGGATAAAATGAAATTCTTGTAAATTATAACCAGCCCTGGAACTTCTTCCTATTGGCTTTTTTAGAATAAAATATCGTTAACAGTTTAAGACACATTATTCTTCCTTCATTTTTATACATTTCTAAACAAATCTGCGTATGTATGTTTTTAAGATGAGTTGATAACTTTCAGATACAGCTAACTGTAAAAGTCATTTGTGTCACTGAGCCCCTGTTCTGCCGTGAATTAATCAGCTGCTGAAGATGAGCCACAGGGTGGTTAGCAGATCCTGTGTGTGGAGACTGTGATCTGGGCTGCACTCTGTGCCGGGCCAGGACACTCTAAGACACATGTCCCATGTGGCTCTGGCTATCTTAGGGTCCACAGGGTAGAAGATGGAAGCTGGAGGCAGAACCATGTTTTTGTGGGGCTGAAGCTTAACCAACTGTATGAGGGCACAGGAGGGAGAGGCTCTTTAAGAAAAAAAATACCAAGTTATCTTATTTTTGCAAATATTGCAAAAACTTTTGACTATGTAAGCACATTGCTAGAGCCCCTAAGTAGAGACAGACATATGTATTGATTTAGGAGGACAAGCAAAATCAGTGCTGTAAAGCAGGTCTCCACAGAGGGTGAGAGGGTCAAGAGCTGAAAGAGAATCAGGAAAGGCTTCGTGGAGGAAGTAGCCTGGAAGACTGAGCAGAGCTGAGCAGAGAGAAAGGTTGGCATGAGTTCATGGAGCCACATCAGGACCCTAAGTCTTAGGTTCTTTTGAGTAGAGGAAGGGAGCAAGTTCTTATGGGGGAGTGGGGCTGGCTGAGAAGAGCCCAGATGGGTTCCGAGGGTATGCAGCACTGAATTGGTGGTTTCACGATCTTGACCCCAAGCTTTTTTTTCTACTCCCTGTCAGCGCTTCTATGTGGCCACATCACAGCAACTGAAGCGGCTGGAATCTGTCAGCCGCTCGCCCATATTCTCTCACTTTTCGGAGACGGTGACGGGCTCCAGTGTCATCCGGGCTTCTGGGCGCAGCCAAGACTTTGAGGCCATTAGCAATGCTAAGGTGGACACCAACCAGAGGAGCTGCTACCCCAACATTGCCTCCAACAGGTCAGCTACCCCTTGCTCCTCCAGGAGCTCCCATCAGGGGCTCTGCAGGAGAGATCCTGGTGTTCTGCAACTTAGCTCTTCCTTCTCCTTTTCTGTTTTGTAAACAGAAAACTGCCCCCATCCTTCGCTTGCCTCAGTTCCTCCTTGTCTATCCCCACAGGTGGCTGGGGGTCCGAGTGGAGACCATGGGGAACTGTGTTGTGCTCTTTGCTGCGCTCTTCACCGTGATTGGGAGAAACAGCCTGAGTCCAGGGATGGTGGGCCTCTCCGTGTCCTATGCCCTACAGGTACACAGGAGTCCGGGCCCCAGGGCAGGGCCACCACTGGGGCAGAGGCCACACAGGTGTTACACGCATCTCCTGAGCATCTCGCTCTGCCCAGGGTGGGGACCAGCCACAAGTTCTGCTTGCCAGGACTATGAGCTCACAGTCAAGCATGGAGAGAGACTCCCACCAGTAGAGAATTGTGATGCTGGGTGAGCATTACAATGGTAAAGGGTCTTGGTGGAGGGAGGAACAAAATGTTGTAAGAACCCGGAGGAGATTCTCTACCTTGGGGTGCTGGAGAAAGTATCTTGGAGCTTGGCCCCAAAAGACAAAACAGAACTTGTCCTGCCTGTGCACAGTCTCTAGACAGTCCACCCTGACAGTTCCTGGGGCAGGAAAGTGTGGGACTGGAATGTACCTCCTTTCACATGCCTTCAGAGAAGGAGCCTGGGCTGGAGGCTGGGCAGGTCACTCTGATATCAGCCTGTATTGTCGAAGGGTTACGTAACTGCAACTGGAATTTTGTAAAGCAGATCACATTTTCATTGCCTCAGGTAGCTCAAGTCTTGAAAATCCAGAAAGATCAATCTTCTCAAACTTTAATGTACTTACGAATCACCTGATCTCGTTAAAATGTGGATTCTGTTACAGTAGGCCCAGGATAGGGCTCAGGATTCTACATGTCTATCAAGACTCCTTGGTATACAAAGTATGGTCCAGAGACCAGTTCTGTCAACATCATCTGGGAGCTTGTTAGAAATTCAGAGTCTCGGGTCCCACTATAGACCTACAGAATAAGAAGCAAGGTTCTCTGGGAAGTCTTTCTTATATATATTGATGTTTGGGAAACACTGGGCTAGGTGGCCCTTGGTTAAGTCTGCATTGTCATTGCCTGAGGTACGGTTAATGATTAGAGCTCCAGGTGGCACCCCTACGGTTTTACCCAGGCCCTCCTGGGTCATAGTTGGGATAGGAGCATAATCAAGCAGGCTGAACTCCTCCCAAAGCCATTGCAAGGGCAGAGGAGATCACCCTACTCATGACCCAGTCCCTTTGGCCAGGTGACATTTGCTCTGAACTGGATGATACGAATGATGTCAGACCTGGAGTCTAATATTGTGGCCGTGGAGAGAGTCAAGGAGTACTCCAAGACAGAGACCGAGGTGGGTACTGGGGTGAGTGTGAGGTGAGGGGAGTCAAGAATACCGGGGGAAGGGTGCTTGATCGCCTGCCATGCCGCACCCCAGAGCCAGCTCCTCAGGTGGCTCTTCTTTATTCATTCATCCATTCAACCCTCCTTGAGCATCAACCAGATTCTGATGTAGGGGGAGAGGTAAGACATACCACAGGACTGCGGGTGATGCAATCAAAGAAGGCAGAAAAGTGGGTCACTCAGCTGGGGTGACCCAGGAAGGTGAGCATCCGGCCAAAGGCATCCCTGATTAAAGGAGGAGCAGTGGGGTAGCCTGCCCTTTGTTGGGGAAAGGGAGTTGTCTTCTACTGGGAGATTCAAACCTTTCTTCTTCACACCCTCCTGTGGTTGCACCCCAGAACTCTTCATGCCCAGAAGCTGCATCATCTCTGAGTCTTGATGTCGAGCATCCCTCTTTTAGACCACCCTTCCTATCCCTCCCAGCTCACGTATTCCAAAGCCCTTTGCTATTCCAGTACTTTGCCCTTGTTGAGATTCCCAGTGCTGTGATCCTTGTCTATCAGCCTGGATTACGTGCTCCACCTGTGCTAGTGCTCCCAACTCCCTCACCCTTCTTTCTCCCTCCTCACCCCTCTCTCAGTTGTTGTCACCTACAAAACCCCACCCCAGTGAGCCTATCTATCTGCCTTTTCCATGCTGGCGCTCAGCTGAAATGTTGCTGGAGAAAATCACTGATTTTACTTCAAGTTTATAACCACACATCACTGCTAGGTGTTCCTACTTTGCTTCCCCGAGAAGCATGTGTTCCCATTTTCAGAAAGATCTGTTTTGAACTTTCTTTTCTTAAACTCCCACATTTCCTTCTCCTTTGTGCCTATCTATCTACCTTGCCTGACATGTCAATGAGAAAATAGGTTATAAGATGTGAACTCCCTTAACCTTCCTTCAAAACTACCTTCTTCCCTTTCTCTTTTAACAGGAAATTCCCTCCTCGTCTTGAAGTCCCCACCCCCCACTTCTTCACATGGCCATTTAGGGGCTTCACTTCCTCAGTGACACCCTCCATCTCCTACATCGTTCGTCTGGCTCCTTCTGTTGTATGATTGCCATCCGCTTGCAGACATATGTGTACCATATCTTTCATTCTAGACACACAAGGCAACTCTCCCCTTCTCCTAGATCCTACTGCCCCGTTTCTTGGCTCTCTTTGGTTATGAAGCTTGCTTTAAAATATGGTCTACACATGCTCTCCCCACTTCCTCATCACCCTTTAGCTCATCCACCTCCTGCAGTCTGGTTTCTGGCCCCATCACTCTCCTGAAACCACTCGCCAATGACTTCCCTGGTTCCAGACCTGGAATTTAATCTCTCAGCAACATTCAGATGAAATGATCCCTCCTTTCTTCTTGGAAGGCATGGCTTCTGTGACTCGAGCTCTTGCCCTGTCAGTCTCCACTGAGTCTCCATCCTACCTGTTCCTCCCAGCCTGGCCTCTCCTGCCCCCACGGCCCCTACCTACCCCTGCCTTTCCCAGGCATCCCCCATGACCCCCTCACTCTCCACACACTGGGATCTTCCAAGTCTCCCTCTTCTTGTCTAGCACTCCATTTCCCCTGTCTAAACACATGATCCTATCTCTATATTCTAAAAAATTCTGGCCCCGACCCTGCTGCTCATTCTTTTGACACCTTAAGAGAGTGGTCTACACTGGCTGCCTGGCTTTTTGACTGCCTCGAAGTAGGGCTGGCTTCATGAGTGTATGGGACCAGTCACACAGGTCCCCACTCTTAGAAGGACCCCATGCTTAGAAGGGCCTCACACTTGGTTTAATGCTCTGGTGTCACCACCTGGACATTCTTAGTAATTTTTGAACAAAAGGCCCCACATTTTCATTGTGCGCTGGGCCTCCCAAATTATACAGTCAGTCCTGTCTCGAAGCCACCATCATCTTGTGCTCAATTTATTTTAACAGCCTTCTAACTAGTCATTCTGTTTCCACCCTCTCCCTTTACCTAGTAGCAGCCAGGGCACTCCTTTAAAAGCACATCAAATTGCATCATTCCACTGTGCCCTTAAAATGGCCTGCAAAGCCCTACATCATGGGGCCACTGCTACCTGTCTCCTCCCTCTCACCTTGTCACTTTGTTCCAGAACAGACCTGGAGACATTTGCACTAGCCCTTCTTTCTGCCCGGCATATCTGTCCCCAGATATTTACTTGGTTTGTTCCTTCACTTACTTCAGATCTTTATTTAAATATCCCCTCCTCCAGGAAGCTTTCCCTGACCACCCTGTACAGTA